TCTTAATATTTAAAGATTTGAAGGATATTGATTGCAAACTAAAGTAGTCCATTAATGAAATTAAAATTCCCGTTAATGATGTTACAATCCTAAGTTAATTATCTCATATGCACTTTGAGATAAATAAAGTGAATGATTGTTCATACCCAAGGATCAGTGGGAGATAATCTCACACCAAAGGAGACTTGTTTAGTCTCATTTCAATGCCCAATAAATATTTTTAAAATAAAAGAATGTACGCATTTGGTTAAGGTGTGCATAAAGTTAGGCAGATATTTGAATAACCCTATAAAGTGGATCATTTATCAAAGCAGCCAAATGGGTTATACAGTAATTATAGGGAATGTAAGTTATATACGTATGCTCATTTATCAAAATCAGATATTTTGGGAGATCGTGTGGTTTATTCATGATTTTGATTTTTTATGATGCGTATAAAGTATAGATCCATTTTGGTTAATGTAAACCTAAGTGATTGAGTTATTTCGACATGGGTGTTAAGCAAACACTTTAAGCTCTTTTCACGATGGTTAAAAATTTATGGTTATTTTTTGGCATCTTATTTTTGAATATAGCTATAAACACTTGTCATTAGGCTGCACATGTTGATTTGTATTAAAGTTATACGGTGACAATATTTAACAGCTATACTTTCGAACAACAACAAGAGCTTGTGAAAGTTCTTTGTTGTTAAAGGTACAAAGTGAACAATGCATAGAGCATATTAAGATCAACTCCACAATTGCGGATCCGCTTACTAAAGGATTAACACATAAGGTATTCATGAGCATTGCTCATGTAGGTGTTATATCATTTAAGGATATTATGGTTCAGTGGGAGTTTGTATGTATGTGTATATGTAAACACATTTTGGTAGCTCTATGATATGTTTGGACACAAAGTTGTGTATTAAGTTTTCTGCAGAAATAAAGTATTTGGTTGCGCTTTGTACAATTATGTTAAGGTTTGGTCTCAATAAAGTTTAAAGTAGGACCAGTTGGAAATAGGCATGTTAAGATCACATTACATGTAATTTCCATGCTACACACCATAATTTGATCTATGTCGTTTGGCTATATTGGTATACGTGATTACTGTTGGGTTTAGACACGATCAATGTGACGAAAGCCTCTTTAGTCCTATAATAGTATGGTCAATGGACGAGATTGTAAGGAATGCCTTTTTTATATGATAGCAATATTTGAGCTCATAAGGTGTACACATTTATAAGGTATATAGCATATGTGGCCCAAGTGGGAGATTGTTGGAATTATTTCAATAATTATATGGGCTCACATATGTGACGTAAATGTGTATGGCTATCTAAAAGAAAGTCCAAATTAATTGTGATCTAATAAAGATTATTGGGTTGGACTTATGGGTATTGACTATAATTATGGGCCTAATGTGTAGAGACAATTAGGGCTTAATTGTGATTTATTGATGGGGCTGAATCACAATTATAATATAACTGGACTCTACAGTTATATAAAGGGTCGTGGTCCCCAAAGAAACGCAATCATTCTATCTCTTATAAAATCCATCGTTAGAGAGAAAAATAAGGAACTGCGGATTCTTTGGAAGACCTGTCCCAAATCCGGTGGAGATTGCGGATTCTTTGGAAGACCTGTCCCAAATCCGGTGGAGATTCGAAGATTCGATTACATTTCGAAGATTCGATTACATGATGTAAGGTACGCTTCCGTGTTTATGTTTAGGTTTAATTCTCGTTGATTCAAGCATGTGGTTCTTGGGAATTCGTATGTATGTACGATAAAATTTATAACATTGTAATCTTTCTACAACGTGGTTGGTGATCTTGGGCCAGCAGTAATATATTTAATCTGCTGTTATTTTATATTCACAAAGATGACGTGGAGAAATTATACAATCATCACAAATTGCGGACCTGAACGATCTTGCAAGACAGTCGAATATTAAGAGTCGCAATCTCAATGGAAACGAAGGATACAAATACATGGGATTGAAGAAGATGGCGTTTGCAGTTCTTGGAAGGAAGATAGAGAAGCCATTGAACGTGAGTAAGTGGGAACGTGAGTAAGTGGGACGCTGTGAAGCTCGATCTCGATCGTGATCAAATTGAATATGCAGCCATTGATGCAGTTGTTTTTACCAACTTGCTCATGCACTGTGTCCTCCGCGGCCAAACATTATCGTCGTTGGACCTCGATTGTCATTAGTTTAGTCGAACTTTGGGTGTTCTTCATATTATTGTGTATGTATTTGTTCTTTCGTAATTAAATTAGAAAAGGGAATTTATGTTGTTCTATACATTTTTTTTTATCAATGTTTTGTTATTGTACTTGGGAGAGTTTAAAAATTCAGTTTTTTTTTTTTTTTTTTTTTTTTTTTTTTTTATCAATGTTTTGTTATTGTACTTGGAGAGTTTAAAAATTCAGTTCAGTTTAAGCCGTGCAGACAAGTGAAAAATTAATTCGACATACCAGGTTAAGAATAAAAAAATATATATATTAATAAATCTTATAATAAAAATATATTTGATTAATTATAAGGAACAGAAAGAAATAAAGAATACGACACGAGAAATACCACCTCCAGTGGCGGATCTAGACAACATTTTAAGGGGGGGGGGGCGATTTTTTTAGGAAAAAATATATCCAACGGGAGGTTATAATTTTGGAGATTTCAGGGGCAGCGCCCCCTAATTTTTTTTCGGGTTATTCACAAAATATTGCTAAAATAAGTATATATTTATAATTTTGAAGTAAAAATATATATTTTCGTACTTGTATTTTATATTGTAATAACAAATAGAGAAAGAATATATAAAATTACATAAAAGAATAGAGAAGAAAATAAAAATAGGGGGGGCAAAAACACATATTTGTATAATAATATGCCAAAAAGCAATAAAAAAAGTTGGAATATTTTTTTTCTGGGGGGCGGCTGCCCCCCTGGCCCTTAGTAAATCCGCCACTGACCACCTCCAATCTAATCTGTCCAATTGAAATTCCACAAAACCATTCAATCATTTTACCGCCATCTTTATATCCTCTGGCGTTGATAGTTTTGTTTCGTTTTTTGAATTACAATTTTTGTTCTTTTTTTATTACTCAGCACTCTTTTTTTACCATGGTCATTTAGTTCTGTTTTGGTTCCAGGTTATACTTTCATGCATTACTAAATACACATTCTTTCAAATAAACCCATCCCCATGTCCTTAGTCTAAAATATCCTCCATAATATACTTTTTTTATCAATTCCATCAATTATACTCTAACTTCCTTAATACTACACATTGACCTCGGATTTAAACAAATATATCACATTAACCCTCATTTTAATAATTTTTTGAATTTTTTTTTTTTATCAAATTGAATATGCAGCCATTGATGCCGTAGTTTCTTACCAACTTGCTTATGCACTGTGTCCTCCGCGGCCAAACATTATCATCGTTGGACCTCGATTGCCATTAGTTTAGCGGAGAACTTTGGGTGTTCTTCATATTATTGTGTATATATTTGTTCTTTCGTGATTAAATAATAAACATCAACGTTTGCTTAGTAACTATCCTCCTAAGAGAAAAAAAAAAAAAAAAAAAGTAAAAAAAAAATGTTTTTTAGGGGAATATTAATTATGGTCAAATTACAAGGACCATGCATGAGGTAAGGTCTGATTATGAAAAAAAAAATCAACGTTTGCTTAGTTACGAGCACCCCTGAAACTAACTGTTTGCAAAGGAACCCTAACAGAATATAGTAATTGTCTAAAATATTCATGTGTTCAAATAGTTAAATGTAAGAGAAAAAAAAAACGTTCATAAATTCAATTTTCTTATTTTCTTACATGTGACCCCTCATGCAACATAAGATCTTATACAGAACCCCATCTGAAACAAAAATGTCTAGTTAATAGTAAACAAAAGAAATAAAAAAAAAAAAAAAAAAAAAAAAGAGTTTAAAAAAATTATAATTGTGTAAAAATGTACAAAACAATATAAAGAAAAAATATTTAATTTATATGGTCGACTAAAATTTTCGAGATAGGGAGTATAACAATAATTAGTCGACCATATATTAGTATGATCAATAAATATGTTGTTGTGTTGACCGGTTATTATTGCCGGTGAATACAGCAACATCGCCGGAACATGAAAGTTAATATTGAACATGAAAGTTAATATATATAATATAGGCTTAATCTCACTTTGCACCCTTGAAATGGAGCATTTTGGCACTGTGCACCCTTGAAAAATAATATTAGCACTTTGCACCCTCGAAACACAATAAATCATTCACAATGCACCATTAATTGAATAATACATGATAATTCATTTTTTATTAGTTTTTTTTTTCCGGGGTGCAAATAATAAATTAAAATTGTTATTTTCTTCCACCTCCAACCTAACTTCGAGTGCACAAAGTACGAAAAAATAAAAATCACACCGGATAATTGAAAAAAATATATATTTTCTTACAAAATAAAATCAAATAAACTTTTATCACTAAATTATTCCATTGATAGATCTTTTATTGTAATTGATGGAAATATTAGGTAGAAATATTTGGAAGAAAATATATGATTTTCAAATAACTTGATAATCGAAATATAAAATACGACTAAAAATATTAAATTACCTTTATTAACTTTAAAGACTCATCTGGGGTGTATTATGCATGATATATTGTGTTTCGAGGGTGCAAACCGGTATATTTCAAGGGTGCAAAGTGGAATTAAACCTATAATATATATACATATAAATACATTTTGAGGGACAATTTCGTCATTTCCAGCCGCACATCCATCAAGTGAGCCACTGCCACATGAAAGTAAACCACTGGTTTTCTACCTTTTACTAAATTTCACGGGGGAGATTACATAAGGTTACTTTTTGCAGTTTACTCCAAAGATAAGGTTCGAACACTGTAATTTTTTCCTAAAATTTATTCTCTTCCTAAAAAAACAATAAATAAAAAATAAAAAAAAATAAAAAAGAAAAAACACCTTCCTTAACACAGAGCGTTCAATAGAAAACCTAATCCCCCTTAATTCTAAAGAAAGCATGCTATGCTGCAGAAATTCGATGAAGACGTTTTGGAGCAAATCCTGTCACATCTACAAGTCAAAGATCTCTTGAGATTCAAATCAGTCTCCAAGAAATGGAATTCCATAATCTCCACCCCACGTTTCGTTAACCTGCACCTCAACAAATCAATGTCCACCCCTTCCCACCACAGGATCATCATGCCATATCCCAAATCATTTCGGGCCGTCGATTTCCACATAATGGACGTCCAAGATCATTTGCCCAGGCCCGAAGAAGCCGTCGGCACTTTCGTCGGTTCCTCCGGTGGTCTGATCTGTTATTTAGACAAGTTGACTAGGAGAATCTGTGTGTGGAATCCATCTCTCAGGCTATCAAAAACCCTAGATTTGAACATACAAGGAAGCGTTTCTTTCTTCTGGTTCGGGCGAGAATCCTCCGACGATGAATACAAGGTTGTCTTAGGGATTCGATCCGTCGTTAGAAAAAATACAGACCCTAATTTGTATGCAATTAGGAGAATCACGATAATGCCGGACCAAGACGAATATAGAAATCATATATATGTAATTATGCCGTTTGCTTGCGTATCGGAATCGTCTACCCAATTAGAAGTAGATCATATATATTTCTCTTCCTCGGATGAGGGTACCCTTTTTTCCGGACTAGTGCATTGGTTTGCGGGCAGCTATCGAATTAAATCGGCTATTGGATCAATCTATCACGATGCGGTGTTTACGTATGATTTGGGCGGGAAAACTCTCGGAAAACTATCGACGCCTGTGGGATTGAGTTCTAGCACGGGGTCGATTGGGGTGATAGATGGGTGCCTTTCTGCAATATACCGAGTTTGTGGGGGCGATTGTGCAATTTACGAGTTTTGGATGATGAAGGAGTACGGTGTGAAGGAATCATGGACTAAGATGACGAGTTTGTCGTTCGGTAACTGCGATGATGGTTTGTCGTCCTTTTCGCGGTTGAAATTAGTTGGAGCTACTGATACTGGGGATTTAATTTTATGTTGCGCTCCGGATTGTCAACTTTTGATATATAATGTGGCGGAAAAGAAATCGAAGATTGTTTTGTCCAATGGTTACGGGTTTGCGAGAATGTACGTCGAGACTTTGGTTTTCCCCTAAATTGGCATTAATGCAGCAAAACACAAGGTTAAGAAATTGTTTTTTCTTCTCGTTCGCTGTTATGTGTTCTTCAAGTCGAAACTTAATCGAATAACTGATTCAGCATTTTTCTTCAACTAGGAAATTATCTATGTTGTTCTCTGTTTTTGGTATGGCATCGAGAATTGGTTGGGCCTATGATGCAGGAGAAGAGTCAACTTTGAAAATTAAACTGTTTTGATTGACAAAGAGTTTAATTTCTGCTTAGAAAGTTCTGGAAGTCTAGTTTTCCAATACCAAAATCGGTTTCCCGTAAAGGTCTGAGAAATAAGTTGTGCTCGGTTTTATAGAGCCTGCCATTACACTCGGGAAAATTGAAAGCTTTGCGTCCTTTTGTCTTTCTAAGTGCTTTACTTAATTTAGTAGTCTAATTTCGAATTATTCATCTTATTATCAGATACTGCGGTCATTTTTCTATGTATTTGATGATTCAAGGTCAAAGTTATTTATTTTCTGGAATAAGAAGTTGAGAAGTCATTCAAAACTGTAATTTCTTATGTTTTGGAAGGATATTCCATAACTCCTGGATATTTACCGAAATAAAAATGTCTGGCTTCTTGGTAGTTGATCCTGGTTTTTTCACTTTTAGATTCTAACATTCACTAGTAGAAAAATGGCTTTATACTATGATCATTAACCGTAGCAAAATGTATCAAATTCGTAGTAAAAAGGCTTTTGCTACGCATTTGCTACAAATTTACCCTGTAGCATATACGGGCGTGACAAACGTTTTGCTACGGTAAATGGTCGTACCAAATACTTTTTTGCTACGTTAAATCCTAGTATTTACTACGATTTCAAAATTGTTCCGTAGTAAAAAATACATTTTATTACGGTTTTTCACCGTAGCAAACAAATTCGTAGTGATAAGCAAATTTTCTACTAGTGATTGGTGAAAAAGAATAAACAAGATAGAGGGAATCGAATGAGGGATAAAGACGTACGATTAGGAAGAGGAAAAGAAGATAACATGGACGAGGAGGATGAAATCGGTAGCAAAAAAGTTTACAAGGCAAGATGAACAAAGAGATGTAGAAGAGAGCAAATAAAGAGAACAAAGAAAAAATATTACTGTAAACGCAATAATATTATTGTGGTTGACTGTCATATATTACTATCGTAATAGTCATATTATTGTGGTTTATTGTCAACCACATCAATATTAATTCTTTTGACTTTTTATTATATTCGACTTTTATTAAACGGTCAACATATTAATGTTATTATATTACACAATAATATTGATTTTTGTTGTGTAATATTAATGATATATATCTTCTCAGTCATAATATTTATACATATATATATATATATATATATATTTTTTTTTTTTGTTCAATGATTTAATTTACTTTTCAATTTTATCTAATCCAATAAGAATTAGTTTTTTATGCAATTTATTTTATCAAAGAAACATGAAATTTAAAATTTACAAATATTGCATTGAGTAATTGATTACATTTGTTGAATGTCGTTTATCCCATGTCCGTCCAATAAAGGTGGAGATAATCAACGGTTATTATTATATAGGGCGAACGGAAAAAAGTCTTTCAATTAAACTCATCCCCATGTCTTTAGTCTAAAATACCCTTCATAATATAATTCTTATCAATTCAACCCATTATGCTCTAACTTCCTTAATGTTATACATTGACCCCGGATTTAAACAAATATATCACATTAACCCCCAAATTTTTTTTTTCAGAAAAATAATTTTTTTTATGAATTTTTTTTTCCGGCCAGATCCGGCGTTGACTTTTTTTTCTTTTTTTTTCTGAAAACTTTTTTTTTTCTGAATTTTTTTTTCCGGCCGGTCAACCACCGTTGACCGCCGGTCTCTGCCGTTGACTTTTTCTTTTTTTTGAATTTTTTTTTCGTAGAAAAAAATATTTTAATTAATATTACTATCTTGACTACTAAATTACTGTCTCAGACAGTAATATTATGAATATTATTTTCCGGAACAGTAATATTATTAATATTATTGTCGAAGACAATTAAATTACTGTTGGAGACAGTAATTTAGCAGCCAAACCAATAATATTAATTAAAATATTTTTTTTAAGAAAAAAAATAAAAAAGTCAATAAACAGTTAAATTACTGTCTCCGACAGTTAAATAACTGCTGGAGACAGTAGTTTAGGAACGAATACAGTAATATTAATTAAAATATTTTTCAAAAAAATCAATTAACAGTTAAATTACTGTCTCCGACAGTTAAATAACTGCTGGAGACAGTAATTTAGTAGCAAAGACAATAATATTAATTAAAATATTTTTGAAGAAAAAAAAAAGTCAATTTACAGTTAAATTACTGTCTCCGACAGTTAAACTACAGCCAAGACAGTAATATTAATTAAAATATTATTTTTAAGAAAAAAACAAAATTATAAAAAAAAAAAAAAAAAGTCAACGTCGGAGACCGCGGTCAATGGCAGTTGACCGGCCAGAAAAAAAAATCTGGGGAAAAAAAGTTTTTCAAAAAAAAAAAAAAAAAAGTCAACGCTGGTCAACGGCGGCGACCGGCGGTCTCCGGTGGTGGCGGGTCAAAATTGGGGTCAAAATTGAAATCATAGTTAAAATTGGTTAATTGGTAAAATTGGGGTGTAAATAATGAAATTGAAGTTGAATTGGGTTTCAATGAATTGAGGGCAATTTTGGAGGATTTTCCTTATTTGCAAATAAGTTTGAATGGGCTGGATTTATTTGAAAGACAAAAAAGTTGGATGTCTCTCTTTTAATTAAGGGGGAAATTGGCTAGACACCCCTTATTTTGGACTTATATAGGTAGAGATCCTAGTTGCTAGATGAATATAGGCATAGGTCCTTTATCACATAAAAATAATATAAATAAAATAAAACAATTAGTATATGTACATAAACACCCTCAATTAATAAGAAAACAAATCTCATACACTCTCTCTCTCTTCAATCTTACGTATCTTTCTTCCTATATAATCTCTCATATTTCTCTTCCTCTCCATCTCCATCTCGTGTCTCTGGTTTTTTTCTTCTGATTTTTTTTTTCTTTTCGATCAACACTTTTCGATTTTTTTTTTCCGATCAACTTCTTTTTTTCTCTATACCCTTTCTCGATTACATCTATTCGATTTTTTTTTTCCTTTGGAATTCGAATTCTTTTGGATTATGTTGTAGGGAAGGAAAAAAAAATTGAAGCTTTACATTATTAGATGATTTTTCGGTGAAAGAGTTAAAAGCGGACAACAAACATAAATCGCTCATTGCTTGCACAAGGTGAGTATTTTTTTCTCGTTTTGTATTTATCTGTAGTGAGTTTATAATGTTTGTTTGTATTTCTAATTGATTTTGGTTCAATAAATAGCAAAAAACAAAATAATGAAACAGCAAAATCAAATTGTTGTTGCAAACTGCAAATTGCAATCGATAACAGTAGATTTTGTTGCAAACTGCAAATTGCAATTTTTGCATTGATAGAATATTTTTTATAATTTTATTGTTATTTTTTGCATATTTATGATATGTATGCTATTTTTGCTCTGTATTTTTATTTTTATTATTTGCATTTACATATTGCATATCATATTTTCATTTTATTGTTTGTAATTAGATGATGCTGATTTTTTTACTTGTTCGATTTATTGTTTGTATTTGGTGAATTCATAGGTAGTTTGTTGTTTTAAATTCAATAATGCAAGTTTTAATTATTAGTTTGCTATTTGCATTTTACAGAGACAAAAGCGGGCGGTTGCGGCAGTGGCGCGGCGTTCGTAGCGGTGGTGCGTTTTTTACTACCTGGGTTGTTACCGAACAACAAACGATTTCTAAACAGCAAACGACACGAATGCAAATTGGGAAACAACAAATCGAACGAAGGAAAATGGAATGAAGGCAAACTGCAAACGACCTTGTAAATTGCAAACGCTCAGACACCCAAACCTATGGAAGGCTTCAAAATTTGTGGAGATTTTGGTTTTGAAAAAACAGGGAAGAATCGATATCAAGAGATTCGCAGTCCTAATTTTCGGATTTGTTGTATAATATAGGGAGAAAAATAGGGGATTTGATTTTGAGGATTTATTTTACCATATACTGATAGGGTTATTTTTGACAAATTACAAATAATAAAATCTGCTGGAAATTAGAGTTTATTAGATGGATTTTAACACATATAATCTCTTAGAGGAGGACCTATAGCAAATTGGCCCTTAATTAAGTGCCCTTGTCATAGGCCTATTTGACATTTACCCATATATATATATATATATATATATATATATTAATATTTAAGATATAAAATAGGGCTCATTACAAATAAGCTCATAGATAGTTATTCATAAAGAGATCAAGACAAAAAACACATTAACAAATAAGTGCACACATGGTCCAGATTTTTGTAAAAGACTAAAATAGCCCCTCATACTTTAATATGCTCCAATTTCATCCTTAATTTAATTTTAACCTCAATTTGGCCCAAAATTTCACAAATTATTCAATTTTGACCCAAATTTTGTTTTTCAAAAATCGTTTTTTTCAAAAAATTTGCCGCCGGTCTCCGGCGTTGAATATTTTTTTTTCTTCCGGATTTTTTCGACAGTTTGCGGCGTTGAATTTTTCGAATTTTTTTTTGTAACATTTTTTTTTCGTTTAAACAACAATATTGCTGTGATTGACAGTAATATTAACTATATTACTGTTAAACACAGTAAAATTAACTAAACTATATTTTAACACAGTAATATTGCTATAATAATCTCTAGCACAGTAATATTAACACAACAAAACTCATTATTATTGTGTAATAGAGTAATATTACTATGTTAACGGTTCAACAAATGTAAACATAATAAAAAGCCAAAAGAATTAATATTACTGTGAGTGACAGTAATATTACTATAACAACAGTAATATTACCGCCAACCACAGTAATATTACAATAATCGACAGTAACATTATTACGTTACTCCGTGAATAACTCAAACAAACAAAAAAATCCAAACAAAATAATAATATTGATGTGGTTGACAGCAATATTACTATAATAACAGTAATATTACCGTCAACCACAGTAATATTATTGTGTTTATAGTAATATTACAATAATAGAAAGTAAAATTATTACGTTACTGCGTGAATAACTCAAACAAAACAAAAAACACAAAAAAAATAATAATATTGCTGTTGTTGACAGTAATATTACTGTCAACGGCAGAACAATTACATAAATGTATTGTCAACGGCAGTACAATTACGTTAATTAACTGTCACTGACAATATCATTACGTTAATTTACTATCAGTGACAGTACAATTACGGTCAACGTTTAGCGGCAGATGTAAAAAAAAAAAAAAAACTTAAAAAAACACTTAAAAAGGTCAACTCCGGAGACCGCCGATCAATGCCGGAAACCAGCGACAAAATTCGGAAGAAAAAAAAAAAAAAAAAAAAAAGTCAACGCCGAAATCCGGCGGCAAAAATTTTTTTTTTTTGAAAAAAAAAGTCAAAATTGGATTTTTGTGGACAAAATTGATTAAATTGATGTTACAATTAAGAATTAGGTATAAATAGTTGGGGGTAATATTGTCATATACATGAATGTTTCCTTTATTTATAATAAATATTAAAGGGGTGGGCTTATTGGTTAAAGAGATATAGCCCTTAAACCTAGAATAATAAAGATGATTGGTTGGGGACTTATGCACAAAAATCCATATAAAATAAATAGTGTTTGAGGGGTAAATGTTACAAACGATACTTTAAGAGTGTAAATGTTATAAGAAATACTTTGTGCGGTAAGTGTTACATATGTTATACTTCAGGGGTGCAAAGTGTATTTAACTCAATATATAATTATAAATTGGCGATTGGCAAATATGTCCATGACAATGAACTTAAATGCACATAGGTCTAGACAAAAAATAGTCTTGCAAATAAACTCATACTTATATCTTTTGTCCAAAATACCCTCCATAATATATTTTTTTAACAATTTCATCCATTATACTTTAACTTTCTTAATATTACACATTGATCCCGAATTTGAACAAATTTATCATATTAACCCCCGTTTTCATAATTTTTTGAAAAAATAATTTTTTTTTTCAGAAAGTTAAGTGTTTTTCCAGGCGGTGGTTCTCTAGCGTTGATTATCTTCTCTCTTTTTTTTTGAAATTTTTTTTTCTGAAATTTTTTTCCGGCCGGTTAACCGCCGATTACTGCCGGTCTCCGACTTTGACTTATTTTTTTTAACTTCATTTGAATTAAATGTTTGAGTTTTGGGGTTTGTGAAAATTGAGATAGTTTGGTAGGAAAAAAAAGGTAAAAAAAAGTAAAAGGTTATTGTGAAAAAGTGTCTGCAAGTTGAAAAAAGTGGACTATATAACCCTTAAATTTATAATCCGACATTATTTTTCGATATTTCCTATATTATATATACTTTGAGGAGCTAATTGCATACCACCCTGTGTAATTTCGAATGGCCAAAAAGACCCTTCTATTAAAAAAAAATAGCAAAAACCTCCCTATATTTTATTTTGCAAAGCACACTACCCCTTACATTAAAATTGGGTGTTGACTTATACGAAATGACAAAACCACCCTTAGGTAAAACAAAATAAATACCCCACACCACAACACAAAAAGAGGGGCAAAAAATAAAAAGGAAAAGTTTGAAAAATCTTTGCTTTGGGGACGACAGTGGAGTTGAAGACGACAAACCACCTCAAGAACAAAGAACAAAGGAAAGATGGCTCTTGTTAGTTTTAAGACAAATTTTCTAGTGTTTAAATTTCATTTGGCCTCTTTTGTATTTTGGAAAAAGAAAAAAAAAACCCGAATGGTGGGTCTGACGAAGGGAAGAAGAGGATGAAGGAAGAGGCCATTGATTTGGAGTTAGGAGGCTAAAGAAGTTTATTATGTCTGCTCAAGCTCCCCTCCACGTGCTCTAATGGTGGGTCTTACACACACATACACAAATATACAGTCTGTAATGGATTTGCAAATGCACACAAATATTTCTAATTTAAAGGGTATTTCAGTCTTTTTGCGTCAAAAATACACACCAATTCGCACATTTCGCGCATGCTACACACGTTCGGCTAGCAGGGGTCTTATTGCCTATGACTAATTTTCATAGGGGGTATTTGCTAAATTTGTTTAATACAAAGGTTTTTTTAGCAATTCGAGATTACATAAGGGTGGTTTTTGCAAAAAAAAAAAAAACTCATATTTTGGACCATATATAGGAAACGTTCACAAAAACATATATTGTAATTGTAGTATGTAATTAGGGTTATTTCCTAAAATTCCTAATTTTTGCAACTTTTTTCCATTCTAGAGTTACCATGCTCGAAAGAACTCGGTCCCTTCGATGCTACACCCGGTGAAAAACACCGGGTGTAGCATCTTCTGCTGCCACGTGTTCTTTTTTTTAGTCAT